ATGGCTCTGACGTCGTGCAGGGCAGACGGGGCCACTTTCTTGGGGTACCGGGGCAAATGGCCTCACCCCTCTGCCCTGCCACCCTGGCCTTCCAGAGTCCGAGAGCGGCCAACTGGGAGACAACGTGAGAAAGTTTAGGGCGCGGTCGGCGGGCGCCCTGGCACCCTTCTTAGAAGGCTGCTTCTCCTTCTCCCGGATTCGTGGCCACAACTTTTCCACTGGAAGCGGCTCAGAGCAGGCGCTCGGACGCTCGGCTACACGCCGCCCAGACCCCGCGCGCCGCCCAGCGCGGGAATGCGTTGCGCAGAGAAGGAGCCCGCGGAGCGGGGCGCGCGGGAGCGCGGGCGGCCGTGTTGGCCCGGGCTCGCGCCGGCAGAGCACAGGCCCTGCCGCTGCAAGATCAGAGCCCAGCATCACTGGGCTGACCTCTTCAGTAACCTTCGCCCCGACACCCACCCACCCACCCACCCACCACACCCCCAACAGAGGGCCTGGGTTCCCTTGTTGGGCAAAGAAGTGGCGCTGGAATCCACCCGGCTTGGGTTTGGTAGTCATTTAACTTCTCTGAATCCATTTCCCCCATCTGGCTGATTGTAAGGAGCCAATGAATGGGCCTTTCTACAGCGCCCGTGCCCCAACTGAAGTGAGAGTAGGGCAGGCATCCCATGGGTGGGATAATGGGGGCTTCTGAGGGGCCAGGTGAATTTTGTCCTTTGTATTTGGGAGAAGCGCAAGTGTACCCAGTCACTTTCCTCCCTGAATGAACATGAAAGATTTCCTCGACCTAGGAACCTCAAACTGCCATCGATTTGATGTTGACTCATCCTGATCCTACAGGGCAGGATAGTCTTTCTCCTGAGGAGTAGCTGAGGGTTTCGAACTGCTGACTTAGTGGGTTGCAGCCCGATGCATGACCACTACTCTACCAGGGCTCCTACTAGAAGTCTAGCCAAGGAGAAAGACGAGACTTTCTGCTCCCTTGAAGAGTGACAGTCTCAGAAACCCACAGGGGCAGCGCCACTCTGTCCTATAGGATCACCAGGAGTTAGAGCCAACTCGGAGTTTTGAGTTTTTGAGGAGCCAGCCTAAGACAATTCCCAATTAAGCCTAGGTGGAATTTTGGCGATTTAAGCTAGGTCAGACTCCCTGATGGCGTTGTAGGCTCAGCATCAGTCGACTAACCGCAAGGTCAGTGGTTCAAACTCACCAGTTGCTCTGAGAAGCACCCACTGTACCAATGACCATGTATAATTTCAGAAACCCCAGAGAACAGTTCTTCCGTATCCTAGGGTCACAATGAGTTGGAATTGATTAGACGGCAGTGTGGATCTGGTTGTGGGAGCCCAGGTCAAATGCCCTACCATCTCTCTCACTCTAATCCTCCACGTTTGGTTGAGCACAGGCAGACTGGCCGTAGCACTGAGAGATGGGAGGTAGGCAGCAACCAGCTTTCAGGTTCCAGGACTATTAGAGTATTCATGGCTAGTAGGTGGGGAGCTCTGGCTACATGCCACTCTAATTTGAACCCGTGGCTTTTTGGGGGTGGGGGGGCTCTGATGCCCTCACATAGGTCAAAACTCACACTCACTGTGGTTTGGGCCCATTGTGTCTCATAGCAACCCTATAGGATAGAGTAGAATTCCTCTCTGAGGTTTCATGCCAGCCATAAGTCAGCAACTCACCTTTTCTGCTTCCTCATGGCCAGGCAGTCTTACATGCAGATAGGACAAGAACCATGCCAAGACCTTCTTTCTAAGTACTCTGCAATTAGCAAACCGGATTTCACCACCCACCAGTGAGGCAGAAAGGGGCTGGCTTAGTCTGTGATGATTTCTTTGGGTTTTCAGTTCTACTTTCTTGGAATAATTATGTTAAAGGTAAATCTAATGCATTCTGCTTGGTGTATTGATTCAGGGCTGCAGAAGAGAAAATTTCCTAGTGTTCGGTTTAATTACACCACCCCCCACCCACCCCCGCCCCCAAAGCCACATCACGGGAGCCATAGAATCAATGGTTTGTTTTCCTGTTTCACATCTTTAACTGATACTGGAATTGTCACCATCATTCCAGTTTTTCAGCAGACAACTTCTATTCTCTGTGCCCACCATGCCAGGAAATCCTTTAGGCCTTCTAGATTGGAATGAACAAGTCAGAAACTAAGCCTTTGCCTCCCCTCACCTCACTGCATTTGAATCAATACTGACGCATAGGGGACCATAAGTAGAACTGCCACTGTGAGTTTCAGACTTCAACTGTTTATAGGAGTAGACACCCCATCATTCTCCCTCCGAGCGGCTAGTGACTTTGAACTGCTAACCTAGCAGATCATAAACCAACTTGTAACCACTTTGCCACAAGGGCTCTTAGTTGCCCTCCAGTCCTCTCCAAATGGTCACCATTTCTTCCTGAGAGCCTAATTTTAATACCAGAAAAAACCACTGCCTTTGAATCAATCCTGATTCACAATGACCTTCTAAGGCTAGATGGAACTGCCCCAGAGGGTTTCCAAGACCCACATGTTCCTCAGGCTGTGTAGTTGGTGAATTCAAACGCTGATCTATCAGTTAGCTGCTAAGAGCTTTCATCACTGGGCCCCTGGGCTCCTGAGGCCCAATAGAGATGATTCTCCGCCTTTTCCACGGTGTTTACATGGCACTGACTTCCTCTGCTCTCCCACCACTTCTCCCTGCCTTTCCCTCCCGCCACCACCCCTCTCCCTTGCACTAACCGCTTTAGAAAACTCTGAAAGGCCGACTCTGTTTCTGTCCGTAGCTTCCTTTGAAAAAGCGATTACAGTGATTAAAAATAACCAGTTGAGGATCCTCAAGGGGCTTCCCTTACAGGAGGACAATTTGCAGGACCAGTGTTTCCCAGACCACCATTTCAAACCTAATAGAAGAGAATCCGCTGAAATGCCCAAGCCTGGATTGAAAATACAAGAGCCTCTTTTGTCCTGCCAAAGGTCTGTTTATTAGGGAAATAAAGTCAGACTCTGGCTAATGAGAGTGGCTTTTCCTAGATGCTCTTGAAAGGGAAATTTCAAGGAACTTGATGGGAAAGGGCCGTTTAGTTGAGATTTCAAAAGCTCGTCCAACTTCAGGCATAATTGGGGCTTGATTCTGAATTGGGAGTTCTGGAGACCTCCAAAGCGGCTTTGTTTTCTCTCTCTTTGTCTCTCTCTGGGACATCTACTGCCCAGCAGGTACAAAGAGAACAGCCTTTGCTGGTGTTGGTAGGCCACCGCATATTCACATAGTCACTGTGTGGCCTTAGGAAAGCCACTTCTCTATGAGCCAGGATTTCCCCATCTGCAAAAATGAATCAAAATGCACTTCACTGCATTTTCTCCTTTATTTGCAGCATGGTTTAGAACATTAGAGATAATCCAGGTCAAAAAGACACCACACACAGCACAGTACAGAGGGTAATAGATGGATGAACTTGTAGAGAAGATGATTTGGGCTTTTTAAAAAACATACAATTAGCAGGAAGATGCTGGATGAGCTATTGTGTTCAGATATTTCCTGCTCCACTCACTTGCGCATTACAGACTTTGAGGCAGGTAATTATTATTATTATTTGTAAATGAGGAGAGTCAGCAACAGAGGAGAGTAAGTAACTTGTCCATGGTCACGCAACTAGAGTCTGGGTACCATCTCGGTCTCTCTGACTCCTAAATCAGTGCGTGCTTTTACTCAATCTTCAAGACTGACTCAAAGAGTTAGTCGGGAATAGAATGAATTCACTCAGCTCCACTCAGACTTCTGGAAGGTGGGTCTACATGGAAGAACACAGCAACAATAAATAAAGATAATAACTGACGT